CCTAATTGCTTTGTCAGCGTAATTCGGATGCCGTCAGGGCCTCGATGTAATACTAGGAACCTTCTTCTCAGCCCTTTCCCACTTTCGTTGTGAAAATGGAGCCACTGCACCACTTGAACCATCCTTGTATATTAAGGTGCATAAGGCACTTCCTTGTTGAATTTTTTCTGTCATCCTCGCTCTTATGTATTCAGTAGCTTATGTATTCAGTAGCACTGTCTTATAATCCTTAGTGATTACTTTCTTAATTTGTTTAGTAGCTATTTCTATTTGCCTTTCTGAATATAAATTATCCTGTAGTTGCTCATCTTCTCTCCTTCACACTTTCATTGCTCGTTTGTGATCACTACCCAGACTTCTGGAGCCATATTCATCTATCTGCATTCCCCTGAGCCTATCATACACCCTATGCGACATCAGCGCATAATCTATCGTCAACTGCAGCCCTCCTTCCTCCCATGTTATTTGCCCTTCACACTTCTGAGTACTGTTGCAAATGATCAAATCCTTAGGGTCAAGGTCACAGCGTTCCCTCAAAGCAGCGGCGAGAGGCATCTACTATGGTCCTGTTATGCCACAGACATTTTCCTCGTTCGGGAGCACGTCTCACGAGATCGAGCGCTGTTCTGACGAACTGTCTCCCCCCTCCTAGCGCCGCCTTCCGTGCAGGAGAACCGTGCAGTTCTGGAGATAACGTCGCTTCCTCCGCCGAACCACCTTGCAGTTCCGGGTATGGCTGCGTCTCCTCAGCCGAGCCACTGTGCCGTTCCAGGGAACTGGTCTCGCAGAAAAGACCAAAACGTTATTTAAGGCCGTGCCGGCCCCATGTTTAGAGGATTTTGCCGCAGCCGACGTTGTCGTGCTGGCCGGCTCTGTACAAACGACAACCTGCTACAGTAAACGCTCCTTCTTGTTGCTGTTTTCAAAACGGATTGCCTCCCTGCTTCGCGTTCGGGCAAAGGCTTCAGCGAAGTCCGCTCGACTGCTCACCGCTCTTCGCGACCGCTACCGTCGCGAGACAGCAAATTCCTAACAGTCCCTAGAACATGGCCTCCGAGATTGCGGGCGCGCACGTGCAGTCTAGTCCAGCCGTGCGCCAATCAACTTGGTCTTGGTGGGAATACCAGCAGCACCAAATGAAACGGAAGAAACCAAGACAAGAAAAAAGAGACAGGGACAGGAAGGATGCTGGACTATCAACAATAAATGGCAGGTTATGAATTGCATATACCAAAATATACATTACCGTGACATGGTATTCACCAAATTCTAAGCGCACAAATGTATGCAAACATGGGATAGTGAATTACATGCTATGATATGAATGACTTCAATTGCCTCAAAGACGAAAAATGCGATGTATGAAACTGCTTGCTGGCTGCACGTCGATCCCTACAGTGCGTGAGTTCTACCGACTTTTTCTACACATTTGGCATGCAAGGGATATGACAAGTAAAATAATAAAGGTATTGCAAGACGAAAAAAAAATACAACATATCCACGAAGTGAATGATGATGAGTGAGGCGAAGCTTCAGAGGGTCTTATCGGTAAACCGCGAATCCTCTGTCCGTCGTCTGTCTGCTCATCCGTACGTCTTCCTGTCTGTCCATCCGTCTGTCCGTTCGCTCACACCTGCTGAGTGAGCCATATAACTAGGCAGTCCCGTGCCAAGACGCATGTACACATCCACAGCTCAAGGAGCTTCTAGAAATTCCCTCCATCTTCCCAAAGGGAACCCTGATGGAATGCGAAAGAGCAGCGTTGCGCACGGGTGGCGCAATTGGCTGAATGGTGATAACGTGGGGGCTGAGGTTAGCGCTGAAGCATCTGCTTGAAGCGATGGCTGGCGTTGGTCTTGTCGTTACGTCGGAGTGGACACAAGCGCTGGACTGGAGCTGGCGCGCGTTTCGCCCTGACTTCCACGGCTTTGTGATCGGTGAAGTTCACGCTGAGAGGTGGATGTTTCGGCGGGCGAAGGAGTGTCGCCTTCCGGCGTCCTCTTCATCGCATATAAACGAGCCGAAAGAGCATAAAGACATGAAAAAATAGGGGGACCCCTAAGCTTCACCTGTAAGTCTCGCGATAGCGAAATCTGGCCCATAGTGCACCCTTCAACCACTAAGTGCATACTTATTAATGTCTTGTCACACACACACACACACACACACACACACACACACACACACACACACACACACACACACACACACACACACACACACACACACACACACACACACACACACACACACACACACACACACACACACACACACACACACACACACACACACACACGGACACGCACGCACACGGACACGCACGCACACGGACACGCACGCACACACACACGCACACGGACACGCACGCACACGCACACGGACACGCACGCACACGCACACGGACACGCACGCACACGCACACACACGGACACGCACGCACACGCACACACACGGACACAATCACTCAACGCGCGCGCGCGTGATTGTGCAGTGTGGCCACTTCCCTCTGCTAGAACTGCACTCTGCTGTAGTCGAGACACGTTTCTCACAATGTCTCACAGATGGTACGCAGACACACACGCATGCGCGCCACCACGATGGTCCAGTGGCTAAGGTAATCGGCTGCTCACCCGCAGGTCGCGGGATCGAATCCCTGCTGCGGCGGCGGCACTTCCGATGGAGGCGAAAATGTAGGCCCGTGTGCTCAGATTTGGGTGCACGTTAAAGAACCCCAGGTGGTAGAAATTTCCGGAGCCCTCCATTACGGCGTCTCTCATATTCACGTGGTGGTTTTTGGACGTTAAACCCCTCACATCAATCAACACACACACACGTGCACGTGCGCGAATGGTACATACAGTTTTTTTTTTAATCTAAAGCAAGAGTCGCATGGCCTCCAAGATACACGCCGCGCGCTCACCATCTCTGATGGCCTTAAAGAGTCTCACAACGCCTCACAGATGGCAGCACAAGATCAAACGTTTGCTGTTTGCTTGATCAACGCTTCTGGAAAGGCATTTTCCGCTAGATGGACATTGTTGTCCATATTTAGAGCTGTTTGAAAGTTCCTGTGTGTCTTTAGCGGCGATGGCTGCATTATCCCGGCCTTTTTCGACGTAGTTTGATGGCCTCCCAAATGCACCTACAAATCGCCGAATGGGCTCGTTTTCGTCATGACACCTGTCGAACAAAATGTGTTATGGAGACTCCTTTCACTACAGGGCATTTATGTAATGTTTTTTTTTTTCCCTCTGCAGCTGCAAGTAATATCGTGGCTTTGGGGTAGAACACCTGCTTGCCACGTGAACGGCCCTGGTGCGATCCTCAATAGGACCGAAAATTGTATTCCTTATTTTATTTGCTACTCTCTCGATTTTTCGCTCACGGACGATTTTTTGCTCACGACCAACGGTGCCGACGCCGACGGCGGAATTTCTGCGACACGAGCTTTCTAACACTATCACGTTAAAAACGAGGGTGTAACCACTCGATGTGCGCTCGAGCGTTGCGAGCGGTGGAGAGGGTGAAGCGGGAGAGAGGGGACACGTACAGGCATGTCGCAACTACGGCCTCTGTCGCAACGCGTACGCCAGGTTTATTGCGCGTGAACCAACGAGTCGGTGGTGGAGCGAGCGGTGGTAGCGGCAGGTGTTGCGGTGAACGGTGGTGGTGGTAGTGGTTAGAAGATCAGAAGAGGCACCTAATTTCTGCAACCCGGTCGGGAGCACGGCACAGTGCCTAACGGTGAATGGACGAGGCGGCAGCTGCTGCGAGCGCGCAGCAGGCGAGGGAGAAAGGGACGTCTTAAAAAGCGTCGTGAATTTTCTTCCCTGACAAAAACCGGTGACGGGACGGGTCGTTTGACGGCCATGAGAACGAACCCTAACACCTGCGGCGAGAAGAGCGCGTTGCAGCACGTTCGTATGGACGCACGGAGGGACAGCGTGAAGACCGTTTCACATGGCACACAAAAAAAGAGCGATTTTCAGGCTGCGAATTCACTCGCAGCGAAAAAAAAGGCAGTTTCCTTATGGTCCCTAGAATATATATTCTAGATATATTCTAAGCACCATAGTTCGCTGTCGCCGCAGCGGTCTGCGGCGAGCTACCAAGAAGTGATTTTTTGGTCGGGACACGTCGAAATAGGGCCGGGCCGGCCGAGCCGTCGAAATTGGGTCGACGTGTTTGTTTTGACCAGTGCTGTGCATTTTAAAAAGCATTTAGGTTTGAAAGTGTTCTCAAATGAAGAAACAAGCCGGCCTTTCGTTGCTGTTCATAGAAACCTAATGATATCATAATGCACAAATCATTAGATTGCATTCGGAAAATTCTGCAGTGTCTGCCACAAAGAACGCTGGCAAGAACTCGCCGCTATTGTCTGAGAGCGAACATCACGGAGCATTTTCAGTCCATGTGAAACGAAGCCGCCATTATCGGCGGTTGCGAACAGAGTGAATGGTGCGAACGGAACGATTTTTGTTTTCGCTGTAATCACGGCATGTGAAACAGCCTTTACACAGGCTAGTCAAATAGCTGATTTACACCTTATAAACAGAGTTCGACAGCTAGAAGGTACACCGCAATACGCGATGCATCGCGACATAAATTTCTTGAAAGAAATGCAAATAAACTGCCCATCTGACTTAATGGAGCTTGTGTATCTTAATGCAAACTCACGCTTGAGCTACACTTCTTTTCCCCGTGTTCGGTGTTTTTTCCCATGCCAAATCGGCGATGTAACCGATTCGCTCAGTGACCACGATGGTACAGTTAGAGTGTAGTAGAAACTACGGTCACGTAGGTGGATTAAATCGACCAAAAATGAAGCCTCAACTCCAATGTGTCAAGCAAGATGTGCCTTGAAGTCATGCTTGAAGTACTTGAAACAAAGCGCGCAAATCGCGCAAATGAAATAGATGTGTTGGCTTCTCTTGGATTTTATTGCATCTTGGGCTACGACTACAGCCAGCCAAGCGTTCTTTCTTTAGGAATTTAAATCCGATTCCATCCAAATCAATCCAACTGTGTTAGGTTGAAAGTTGTTTGCGTTGGTGAGCCCTTGGTGTGACCGCTATGTCTTACTTGGTCACGAAAACTGTTTCTCACAAGTTTCAAGTGTGCAGCCTCTATAAGAGAGCCCTCCGAGCGCTAGAAGCATGGGCCATTGAGCGGTCAGTCAGTCAAAAAGTTTTTGACCATTCGAAGCCTTCTAGGAGGCGAAACCGGTGGACTGGAATACTGCAGAGTTGAAACTAGTTTACCGTTAAGCATAATTTCGAATAGATTAATTAGCATAGCTGACCGGCATTCGCTTATGTATTGCAGAGATGAATACAGGATGGAAGCGGTGAGAATGCGCCAGCGGTTCGAGACGTACCGTCATATCAAAGACCTGAGAATAGCCAAGGAGATTCTCGAGAAAGGAGAAGAGGAACTGTTTCAGAGTGAACACCCTTATCCGATGCACTGTAAGTGAACTTTTCACGCATTAGCGTATACCGTTTAATGTCATATGAGTGCGAGCGAGTACTGGCAAAAATCCTCGCCACGCAGCGCTGCTTTCTTTATCATAGGAAGCAGCGCGGATAAATGGGACGAGGAAGACAGACAGGACTTTGCGATGGCAAACAACATGAACGTTTATTTCGTGGGAGCAAATATATACGCTTTATTGGAAAGGGTAATAACCAGAAAAAGTTCTGACCTCGCCCCGTATGCGTGCGCTGCCATAGTGAACTAGAATATTTCCAGAACACTGTAGCGATGTTTTCAATGAAGCTATGCAAGCAAGCTCAAGTTGATATATCTGTTGCAGCGCTGTTGATTTCTTAGAAAATTTTTGTTGGGTGTGGCCTGTCGAATTCATCATTTTTTTCGGTGCAAGGCAGACAGCGTGCTTGACTAAACACAAACTTGCTGTTTAGGAGTATGTGACCTACGAGTTTCCTGTAATCTGCCTGTTTTCTTTACACAGACGGCCGCGATTACGGTATTCGAGCACTCTGGATCGTGATAATCTTGTGCTTTTTTTTAGAACAAGCAGAACTATACCGTGATATCATGCACAATTGTAGCGATCCCACTTGTTTCTCTTGTAGCAATCGGGGGATGAAAGCCACACGAATTTGAATTTTTGTGTGTCGTTACTGCATCTCTTCTTTTTCTTCTTGTTTTTAGATGCGTTATCCCCGCATGGTGTTGCTTACGGACGAGAGCAGCCTTCACCAGATTGGGTACTGCAACTTTTTTATTTTTCATTGGCGATTCTGCTACAACACAAACATGCCTGCTTCTCTTATGTTAAATGGTGTAGATATGAAAAGTAAAATGTTAGGCTGGTTGATTGAACTGGCAGCGGCTTTAGCTTACAGCACCACAGGAAAACCCTTGTTCTTATACCTGCTACTAGCACTTCGTTTTTAATGTAATCAGAAGTTTCATGCTGGTGCCAATGTATGTTCACATTCACTGGAACTATTTGAACAGTTCACTTAACCATGTGTTTGCATGCCATGGTAGCTTTACAGGTAATGTGTCGTGTGCTGCTAAGCTTGGGGATACAAGTTTGATTCCACCCATATTTTTGTGGGTATGAAGTGTAAGGACACCAATGTGCTCAGATTTAGGTCCACACCATCAACACTAGACTGCCATGGTGGGTTAATATATAAATCGTATTGTCACTCTTTATATAAATCACCCGAGTTTAATGTTATTGTTTCCATTACCTAATGAGCATGTACTTTTCTCCCAAAGGTTCTTGACTACTGGCACCCCCTTGAAAAGGCCCAGTATCCAGAATACTTTGCGAAGAGAGAGCTGAGGAAGAAAGAGTATGTTGAAAATTGGGAGAAGCAGTACGGGAAGCCAGGGCCGGATGCTGCCCACCATTGAGTAGTCATTCGAGACGTATAGTGCAGACTGAGTAAAAAAGTGTGTGGTCAGTAAGCCAATTAGTCTTTATTCTTCTGCTACAGTCACATGATGGCTTAAGCAGTGTGTCTCTGGGTTCATAGTTGCAAGTCTGATGTCTCCACTATAACCCCCTGTGATATAATATAGAGCCAAATCAATTTACCTTGTGCCTTGTGACCGTTTGAGTAGTGTCTACATTACAATTCCGATTATATTAACTGGCCTATTATTTAGTTTCCAGTAATTTATGGGCATCTACTGTTGCATTTCTGAGCTGCTGCCAACTAGAGTTATTAGATACGTTTCTCAGTTTGTTTAATGGTGTCACTGCACTTTCTCGACTTTTTTTTTTCTCTGTAAATACCTTCACTCCCATTCTGCTTATGGCAATCGAGGTCCAGCTTCTTAAAGCAGCCGCACAAGCTCAGTAGCAAGGGCTCAATAAGCACTAGCTTGCACTTGAGTGTTACATCAAATGTACTGCATAGAAGATACTTTTGACAGCTACATTCACAGTCTCCTGAACTTAAAAAACGGTTTATCAAGGAATGGCTGCTATGTTTGTAATCTTGCCAAATGTGTCACGCCTGGGAAAGCTTTGGAAAATGTTGCAAATGCCTACTGCCACACCCACAACTTGACATGAAAGCTCACCGTCTCTCGCACATCCATTACCTTTCAATATGCTTGGCACCCTACCATAATGTATTAGTGCAATAAATGACAGCAGGATATCTAGTCGACTATTGCACAGTATGTGCTGCTACGAAATACAAGACATCCGAACGAGACCAAGAATGAAGCCAGGGAAAGTACAAAAAACATTGTCATCTTTCAACAACCGTGTAGTAATACATGTACAAAAAGACAATGTGACAGTAGCAAGACCACAAGTATCATCCCTTACACCTTCCTTGGGTTCACTGTCAATTGATTTCATTAGGTTGAGTCTTATCAACAAATGAGCCCTTGATCTATTTCCTTCTTTCATTTATTCATAGCAAGGGTCTCATTTCAGCACACTTGATGTCTTCAGGAAGTATGCGAGGGTTTATTGGTCAGCTGCCGCTGGGCTTGTAAAACAAAACGTGACCAATGCCACACCAGTTGGCAAAAAAAAAAAAAAATGTTCCACATTTGCTGTCATGGTTAAATGAAGTGCTCCACCTTTGATGTTACGGCTATCAGTGGCACTAACATTGCCAGGCTTACGTACACAGAGGTACCCCACAAGGCGAACTGGAAGACAACTGCTGCGGTAGCTCAATCAGTAGAATTGTCCAAAGATTGTAGGTTTGGTCCCTACCTGCGGAAGCTTTTTTTTTTTGCACTACTTTTTTTTGCATTTATATCATAATGCATGCACATTTAAAAGACCTCAAATAATGTACCATATACCTTCATTATAAGTTGATTTGATTAGGTTGTGTCTAACAAACAACAAGCCCTTGATCCATTCCATTTTTTTTTTCTCTCGCAATACGACACTTGCACAAGAGGTTTCACAAGAACAGACATTGTGCATGAGTAGTGAAGTACCATTGGGCTTAGGACAACACAAATGGAAAATGAGGTGGTGGCAGTTTTGTCCACGTCTTGTGCTATCCATGGCATAGTGGAGTTCTGAATTATAGAAGTATTATACCCAGAAGCTACAGGATCTGGCTTGCTGTGTGGTGAATCTAGCTAAGCCACGACTAGAGATTAATTAATTCCAACATCAAAATGGAGCTCAAGTAAGTTTTCTAATAGGATTCATGTTCAACTCCCAATATTTCAAGATCTTGGAACTGCAGTGCAGAGGAATGCCCAGCATTGCAGTCACATCATTAGCTCTCAGGAGGCACAAGCTTGACTGCCCGATAGCTCTTGAGATGTGGCCTGCCACTTCTGCAGACTGGGCTTTACAGAACACTTTCATTTTATGAGTTGAGAGACTATACTGAGGTAGACGATGAGGCCCACATGAGGCAAGGTCCCTGCAAATACTATAATGCCTACCCACATGTGTTCCCAGTGGATCGCTGTTGAGGATGCCTGTTTGCTGATTTAAGGAATTGAATGCCCAGTACTCTGTAGAGGAATTGCACTAAATATCTTCCAAAAATGCCAATTTTGTTGTTTCATGTGCCTGTGATTAATCAACATTGTCTAACAAGCAGTTTCAATTTTTTGCTGTAAATGTTTTCAAGTGAGGCATAACTTCTTCACGGAAAATGCAGTTATTGAAAAAACTAGTACTAAGGTAACTTTTTTTATACAGTACTAATGTGCGACTTGCAAAACATGCCACTTTTCTGCTGATCGTTCTCGAAGTCCCAGTGACCTTCACCTGGCTTTATCTCTGCATCAGCATGAAGCTCCTCCTTGCAGGAGTGTTGAAGCAATAAAACTGATACACACAGCTATTTCGCAAGTTTATTCTGTCTCCTGGCTATATACGCATGCAATCTGCAATATCTGAGCCAACAGAGTGCGTTGTTTATGTTGCTGTGCATATATGCAATATATTAATTTTGGTGTGGAAAAGCATGCAGCATTATGTGCATGCGCAAGGAATACTAGTCTCTAGCTTTTGAAGCAAAGCCTTGAACCCCTGAAATAACATTAACTTTTGCCTCTACCTACTTGGAAAATTCACGCACCAGTGTGAACTTCCTCAAACAAAAGGTATGAAAGGCATACAATGCCGATCCTGTCAGCTTCATTCATTATTCTGCTCCTGCACCTTTATATTTTAATATTCTTAAAATTGTAAAATATTCAGGTACAATTGGTACATAGCAATTTCTTTCAGCAGCAGTAGATCCGATTAGTGATGGTTATAGAGGGAGTCAGCTTTGCTTGGTACATTGTGTTACAGTGATAAACAATATAGTAAGCACTCGGGCATAAACTCTGTATACTGTGAAATAATGTAGCAGTTACAACTAGCAGCCATGATTACGCAGCAACCACACAGCTTAGACTGCCACCTTCAATACAAATCCACAGTTTTCACTAAATTGATTCGTATAGTGCAAAATACGAGACGAAGAAGCCCACATGAACAGTGCTGTCTGTGTTTGCTTCTTTGTCTTCAGTCTTGGACTTTACATTGTACGAATAAATTCGGTATGAATCAAGACCAACTTGCCCAGCTTTTCTGTTTTTTCACAGTTGTTGCTAGCTCTCCATCATGGCAGTATTGAATTTAGGCATCACTTAGTCTCATCTCAAGCTGAAGGCAAAGTATTTGGTACAAGTAGTCGTAATAGAAGCCAGCCGTTTCTTCTAATGCTGACCAGATGGCAGAGGTCTTATTGCTTGATTTCAACTGTGCAGATAGCACGACAGCAATAGCGCTCATGGTGTGTTAATGCTGCAAAATATACCAAAAGTATTACTGTTTTACACCACTACCACGCCCACTGGATGAAAGAGCGCATGGGTACGGCCCGCCGCGTGCTCCAAAACCGGCGTGACGAGTCGAGTTCCCGAACCACAGCTGTGGCGCCACCGGAGGGGGACAGTTTTCGCGAGCGCCCACGAAATCATATGTGTGGCACGCTTGCGATAGTTAGCGCATGCATCTGTGTGCGATCCGCGAAGTCTTTTAATATCCGTCTAGCGTGTGCACACCAGGTAATTACCGATCTTGCTTTTACATAGCTGCAGCGCTTGCAAATTTTCGGTATCGTCTTGCCTGAGATGCATGGAGCCTTCCACACTGATTAGGTTTCGCGGAAGTAAGAATTGCGAGCTCATTTTACTCGGATCCTACAAGATGACAAGTAACTGATCTGAAAGAGCTGATCATTTCTTAATGCATCGAAGTTCATTATAGTAAATGTGAGTATGTCGCTTCAGAAAACGTAGCTTCAGATTTAATCAGTTCATTTAAAATAAACAACCTTTATTTAACACTAAATAAGATAGACTTTTTACTTCCTCGAAACAAGTCTATAGTATTCATGCAATACAGTATCAGATGCAACAACCAAGAAATGTACTCAACACGTGTGCGATTTCATAACAGTGGACTCGAGTCTCTTTGAAATTTCAGTGACTGTGACTTCACTGCTGGCAATTGAGCGAGTAGTTATGAAGTGAATAATATGAATACTGTGAGAGGAAAAGAGCGTTGAAAGGCTGGAAAATGCGAGCACAACTGTTTGCGTTCCTGCGCTTTTGAATGTTTTTGTCTATTTCTGTTACGACGTTCTTAATGATAATGCAACCTATTCAACCTTACATTCAACAGTGAACACATAATAGGAACAAATTGCATGAAAATATTTATTTTCAATTTAGGGCTGATCCTGCCATTATTTAGGTTTTTTAACATCTTTACACCTTTGCGTAATAAACCAGTTGAAAATTGCTTCACAACAAGGTAGGCGATATTTTTCAGGGAGAATATCCAAGTGAGTGCATATTAGTTGGCGACACTCACTCAGACACAAAAAAGGTGCCCTGTTCCGCGGCCGACAAGCATATGTTTACGTTCACTCCCCCACAACTGCTGGCTGCAAACGTTGTTGCATCCAGTTTTAACACCACCTTCTTGTTTTCTCTCTCTAGGTTTTTTTCTAATTCTGGCTTATCTCTGATTTTCTACTAATGCCTGCCTTTAAGTCCTTGGCACCTTTGTCATTAGTTCCAAATAATATATATATATATATATATATATATATTTTTTTTTTTCCTGCTTAGTATGAACTATCAAGAAATTTGAATACCACTTCTAATGACGTATACTTTCGCAGCCTTTTCAATAATGTTACTAGGAGAGCGTTACCATGTTTGTAGAAACAACTTTCATCCAGCATTTGAAGCTTATGAATAACATGGAAAATGATCAAATGATGTTTTGTTTCATACATTTTCAGCATATAAAACTATGAACGTATATTGCTAAGTGTCCTAAAAATTAGTTGTCAAGCATTTTGGCTGAAAAAATGCAAATGTGCTGAATAAACGTCACAAAAATCAAAATAGTTTAGTTTAACACATCTTCGTATATAGAACAATGACTTTGTCGCGCATTCAGTGCCGTATAATTCAGGTACATACAATGTAGATTTTTCTTTCTACCTCAAAGCAAACAGCTGGTTCTGGAAAAAAAGAAAACGTCAGGTGCTCTGCACGCACACAAAAATTCAATTCAATATAGCGCCTATGTACTCTACTAAATACGCGATATGTCATCACTGCAATAAATGAGATTAAAAAGACACTGATTAGAACAAGTCAGTGGGTCACTGTTGTGACAACGACCAGCTAATTTGCTGTGGATGCTGCCCCGAAGGAGTCGCCGCCCACTCGTTTCCCCGTCCCTCCTGTTCCCGCCCCACTGAGCTGCAGCGGCCGCAACTGCAACTACGGCTGACATGCGCTCTCCCATTGAAAGCCGCTCGACGCGGCGGGCCGCATTGTGTGCTTTTCATCCAACGGCTGTGTTGCTACTATATATGCATGGAATGTGATGACATGAAAAGTTAAAGACGTAGAGCAGATGAATGGTAAGTCGGGCGAGTTGGTAATGACCAATAATGTAACTGAGCAAAAAAAACTAAACGGGAACCTCTTTTCGTGTTCCCGTCTCTTTCTTGCATAGTAGAACAGACACTGCAGTGGGGTGAATATATCTGGAGAAAGGTTCTTTCATATTATTGGCTGAGGAGGCTGCAAGCAAAGAGGTTATATACTTGGCTGCAAGGCGCTACCGAGAAAGACTGCATCAGTTAAGTGAGGTCCCGCTGTGCCATTCAAGTAATAGTATCTGAAGTATTAGGCACTGAAACTTTAGATACTATTACGAATTACGATATGAGACTCCATAGTTGAGAACTATGGAGATTTTTACCATCCGGTGTTCTTTAACATGCACTAACATTGCACAGTGCACAGGCCTCTAGCATTTTGCCTTACATAAAAATGTGACTGCAGCAGCCGGGATCGAACCCGTGACCATCGGACTAGCAGCTGAGCACCGTAACCGCTACACCACCATGAAAGAGTCCCATATAAGTTGAGGCAGCTTATGGTTACAGCGCCAAAACATCTGTTGAGTCTGTATAGCATGGAAACATGCATTAGCAGGGTCCTGAGCACATGGGTAGACAATACGATGCAGATAAACAAATCATGAAAGTGGGCTTTTGCCCTTACTATTGACTGGCACTTTTTCATGAGCCACTGAGACACAGTAGAGATTTTTCTTTCTTTTTTCGAGATGTTCACATATTTCTGTTGATTCCAGCATTTTCAAGGTTGAACCAGCTTTATTGAAAGCTTGCAATGAGAACTTGACACTCACAAATGGTGCTTCACTTGCACATCCCCCGAGCATAATTGTACAGGCAATTTTACAGAACAGACTGTCAGCAATTTACACAATGTTGACAAAAGAATGACACACTATAAGTACACACATAAAAATGTTTGCAACTTGTAAGAATTCTAACATTGTGCCACAACTAAAACATGAACAAAAGAAAAAAAAGCTTCTAGTAGCCCTTGCAGAATAGGCAAGGCTACTCAGTACAGTTAAAACACAAACAAGTTATATTCATTCCAATGCCCCTTATCTGTTCCCAAACAGCTCTCCTTTTCTCTTCAACATCTACCCACAACTTACTGATGTACCCCTCCCCCTTATTTAAAGCACTCGGCACATCTTGTGACAAAAAAGTATCATGCTTGAACCCATAGTTTCTCACAATAATACCAAGAGGGTAATCTGGTGCCACCGCCTACGAGTTTCCCAGTAGGGGCTGTGCCCTCTAGGGAATGACTATCTACATATATGTCTTAAAGGCTTTTGTTGACTGGTGCTGAAGGAGCTGGCTCGGCCTCAGACGTGGATACTACATGAAAAAGGCTTCTCTAAAACAAAACCATCCTAAACGGATCTTATTCATTTGTATTAGGACGCAAAATAAAAGTTCCTAAAATAAAAATTTCCACCTGCAGGACATAAAAAAATGGTAAAAGAATAGACGAAAAACTGCCTGAGTGAACACTGACCTTGTCACCTGCTTTCCACAAGTGGACGCTGGTTTTCACGTTTCATAAAATTGTACAATGTAGAAGTTTTAAATGCTAAATAAAATTCCTTTGTCTGTAGTACTAAAAAACAAACAAACAAACTAGCAGTTGTTCCATGTACGAGTACAACTGATGAGTGAAGCTCCTGAAACGGGGTGTTGAACCAGAAGGAGTTGACTCGGCGAACGAAAGCTTTATTTAGCGCAAGGGCTAACTGAACACAAGCCTGCGATCACAGCAAGTCTTCTTCCTTTTCTATACTCGAGCTCCATGCTTACTTCCCTCGTTACACTCCCTAGAAATGGGACGCAAACGACTATGCGCCTGAACTTGCTGCTGGCTTTCATGAAAGTGGTATGGTGGGGACAGCGTCTGCTGTGCTTGGTGGCAGGAACAATTGAGCAGGTGAGTGCACAAAGCGCGCTGTGCAGCGCGAGCTATCTGTTTCTGCGCCTACGCTCCCATCTGTTGTTTTGCTAGGCGTGCTTGCCCGATGCAGGGAGCTTCAACAGCGATGGTGAGGGGAAGGTCTAAAGAGCTTTGCTCTTAATCAATAGCTTAATATGTGCTACTGCAGCACTAAATTAACCATTGCGAGCCAGACACGCCTTCACGGTATCCGGGCTCTTCATGAACGATAACAATACGAAGCTGACACATCCCAGCATTGCCATGCATACAATAAAGTCACAGCACCAGTTTTCCTTCTAAGCAATTGTATAAGAGCCTGTATGCAACCCCATTTTAAGCAACAAGACAGAATTATCAAAGATGCATTGCTAACACATCACGTGTGCACGAACCCACCACATTTTAGGGGCCCTGCAACAACTTAAAGTAATCATTTTAATGAGGTCACAGTAGGAATTCACTGCTTAACAAATTTGTAACAAAAATTTTCGTATTTCTCAAGAGTAAGCAGAGCTATAGATTTGTTGCAGGCTCCGAGCATTCCCTCTCTTTAGTCAAGACCATAGGTCTCAAACTCACCTCAGCGAGCAAGCCACATTAGTGCAATTTACACCTACAAAGGTCGGGACAAAAAATAAAGTAAAAGCAGGAGGGGCGGCAGGAGTGGAGAGAAAGCTTTTCCCATATCTCATATACGGGTCATTACTGAACGAGATTTGGTGTGCAAGATTTCCCCATCATGTCGATACTGATCACAAAAATGACTAAAATCTCGACGCTGATTCTGAAATATAGTATTTGTTGAACGGTTAGCTTTCAACACATGGAACTACATGTGGTGCCTCACGCAAACAATGTTTCATACCAATCATGCCTGTGTAGCTGACAAAGATACTGATCAATATTTTTGTTAATGCGGGATGAAGACAGTCATGCATGCGCCACAGGCCGCAAGTGAGAGGTTGCGGCCTGCATATTTGAAACCCCTGGTCTACAATCGTACTTAAAACTACATGAGCCATGGCATGACTTTGACCATTCTTTTGCATTTTTTTCAAACATCCTTATATTTTTCCCGGATGGACAGGTGCCATGTGTCAAAAACGCACCAGGTCGTGGGGGCTACAGTTTTTATGCAGCATAAGAAGTGCAAATGTTGTGTTGAAGACTGGCTGAGCCCCTTGAGAACATTGAGCCGACTGGCTTTGCCCTGCATCGGCTCGGCCATCCAATAGTAGTCAAATACAGATAGCATATTTTCAAAAGATTTGAACCGGCTAAGCACCAAGCGATGACAGCCAAGGAAGGAAGGAAAATAGCAGGAAAAGAACGGCAGGGAGGCTAACCAGCCTATAGGCAGCCGGTTTGCTACCCTGCACATAAGAGGGGGATGGGGAGATGAAAGATAAAGAGAGAGGGAAGATAAATAAACACCGCACATTAGGCAGCACAGCCAAGGCGTCTAGCTTGTCAAGCATGTGGGCAAACATAAGCGTGTGCTGAAAAACGTACAGGTGGTTTCGCGAACTAGAATATGCACGGGTAAGTACTGTCATTGCAGGCTCAATATGATGTAAGGGACCAATCACTGCATGCAGTGCTTGAAATAAGACAGGTGAAGTATGCTAAGTTCTGCTTCACATGGACTTAGGAGAACACAAAACAATAATCAGATGACGATAGGTTAAGACTGGAAGGTACGAAGATGAAATGCATTTTTTTCATATCCGAGGATAAAGATATTCATGTAATTTTTTTCATTACTAAAGTAAAAACAAATTAACTATTATTGGGGAAGGTGTCACAATCATGAAGTCAGCCAATGGCCGTGTCCCTGCCACCAACCACAATCAGTTCCAACAGTTTCATAGTGAGCTAGAGAATCAAGCGATTTCTGGCCATATTTAAAACAACACATAAATTTCCTGCGGCGTCTAGTGCTACGTTATTTGGAATATATCTTCACAGGAGCCTTGACTACTGATTGGCAGCATTTTCTAACTATGCTCAGGAAGTGTTGCAGGGCCCCTTTCACATTCAAGTTATTTGGACATAAACCTCATGCACTTTTCATACTGTAAGGGCTAAAACAATCAATGCCAACATGTGCTACGAGTGGCAAATGTTCTACGATTGGCCTACCATCATGCAGTCTTTGCATAAGTTCTTACCATGCACAGGGAGCTTCAGACAGCTTCCAAGCATTAGAGAATAGAACAGGCAATAACCATTGTCACAAGCAATGCCCCTCTTAGCTAACAGGACTACGGCAGATTTAAAACAAAAAAAGAGAGAAGTCTCAATTGTAAATGCTATTAGTTGTAGTGATGAAACTGCCTTTTTTGGTGTTTTCACAATAAACTAGCAGGTCTGAGAAAAGCATTTCTGATGTTCATGCTGCACCTTTGACTCTAACCACCTTGGAACAAGTTTTTTAGACCCAACATGGCAATGCTTTCCTAAGCTCTCTTTCTGGGCTGTGTTTCAAGACGTCAGTTCAATAAACAATAACCATATCGTCCACATACCAGGTGTCAGTGCATCTGTAAATGCACATCTGACACTATAGACTGTACATGCCACACTGTGTCCTACACTTCAGTTCACTACTGACGTATGCAGCAGCACAGCTGAATAAAACAAGCAAGGCCTAATTAGGCTTCGGAGAACGCTCGGCCTGATGCATAGGTGCCTGACGTCTTCGTCCCACAAGGTCTAGCTCCAAGTCTGCTTCATCACTGAATGAAGAGTTTTCTGAATCACTGCTGTCTGTGTATACACCGAGGCCGGGGAGGACACCAAGACAACGGAGTGCGGTCACTGGGGCTTGCACTCCTACATGTTCCTTGGGTGACAGGCTCCTTTCTTCATTACCTGTATGAATGCATGAAAGAATGGACCAGCTGGAATTGAGAAACGCTGCGCGACTTTGGAGCACAACAAAACTGAGACAGTAGGAATAATATGAGTAGCCACAACTTTTACTTTCTGTGTTTATGGTTTCAAAACAGAAATTTTGTGGCCAAAGTAGCACGTAATACCCAAATCCTATTGTATAGTACTGTCAATTACCACTGAAATGCCATGAAGAGCATGCATAAAGTGTCACTTAAAAATGCTTTGGCCGGTTGGTGAATATAAAAGGCATAGACAACTCTTCAGAACATCACTCAACATAGCCCTGACAGTGGAAAGACGGTCTTGTTGCTGAAAAGAAGGCTACTGTTGTCATTTATTGAGGAATTTACAGTTTTGATTAAATATGAAAAATGGTGTTTTGCACTTCACAAGGCAAATACGAGAAATAAGCCTTCCCACCTGAAAGTAGGCGGCATCTGGGCCTTTGTTTAATATCAAACTGAAGCCCCGTCGCGGTGGTCTAGTGGCTAAGGTACTCGGCTGCTGACCCGCAGGTCGCGGGATCAAGTCCCGGCTGCGGCGGCTGCATTTTCGATGAAGGCGAAAATGCTGTAGGCCTGTGTGCTCAGATTTCGGCACATGTAAAAGAACCCCAGGTGGTCGAAATTTCTGGAGCCCTCCACTACGGCGTCTTTCATAATCATATGGTGGTTTTCGGATGTTAACCACTACATATCAACCAAATAATATCAAACTGAAATACACTTTTTCGTATATGCATTTCTCTACAACTTACAATGCACAACTAAGCCTTCATTTGTTTTTCTGGGTGTAACAATAAATTAAGATATAAATTATATGAATACCCCCATTGTTTCTGTGGCTCCCTTCATACACATAGCTTTATATATTCTTGTTCAGAACTGATAATTAAAATTAATTTAACAACCCATTTGTATTACAGAGGCCCTGCAACATTTTTTCAGCATGGTCAAAAAATGCCGCTGATCAGTAGTCTAGGCTCTTGAGACCATGTGAGCCAAATATTATAGCGCAGCATGTGGCAAGGAATTTACAGATAATTCTCAAAGTCAGCTAAAAGTCGTTCCCTCTTCTTTCTAGAAGTGATACCACAAACCCAAATGACTGCGCCAGATACCCGAATCCACGGCCATTGTCCGATTCGAGCATTATGCGCTGTATAGCGAGGCTACTGTGGAATGGCGCCACGTGTCTACACGTGTGCTCACAATCACAGAGAAAGTAAGCCACATGTTCGAAGAAAAAGAAAGAAGTGCTTGAGGTCAGAAACCATGCGTGACGTAACTTCTTTTCCTCATGCCACCCCTCCCTGCTTGTGCTTGTCGGAACAACTGATGATTGATACATGGGGTTTAACGTCCCAAAACCACCATATGATTATGAGAGACGCCGTAGTGGAGGGCTCCGGAAATTTCGACCACCTGGGGTTCTTTAACGTGCACCCAAATCTGAGCACACGGGCTTACAACATTTCCGCCTTCATCGGAAATGCAGCCACCACAGCCAGCTTGTCGGGACAAGACAAGAGAGAAAACAACTACAGCATGTGACAAATCTCTAACTCTGCTCCTACTTGACGAATTCTGAAACTTTCTTTTTTTTTCTTTCGATGATCGATTCACGAGGCAACATAACCTTCAATGAAGCCATTCGATGGTTACTTGGTTAGGTGTTGCAAGGCACCTTTAATGTTTACATGAAGTTTTCAGATTTGCTTGGATGATTAAAGCACGGATGCACAATTCTGCATTTCTACTGAGTACTTAACGTGCATTAGCACAATCTAGTATAATAAAAATCCATGAGCAAAGACAATTCAGTTCTGTACAGCAACTCTGCAGTAGTAAAAAAAAACGTATAGTTGTTCCCAGATGGGAGTCGCATAAACATGTGCGCCTACTTGTTAAATGGTCATATAAAACTCAAGCAGCAAGCTCCATTTTCCAGCTAAAACTAAATTACAGCTCTGAAATGTTTTGCATATAGTTAACACTAGCACTGGCACTAAAACAACATGAGAAAAATTGCAAGTAAACTTGCAAAAGATCTTGGCAAAACAGTAAAATGAATGATGCACCGATATAAACAGAAAGATAGTTTCTCCCTACAAACAATAGCAGTCAAGATGAGGGAGAATAAGTTTCAAAGCAAGAGAAAAAAAGAAAAAAAGAAAAAGTCAGCTTCAAATATCTTTTCTGAAACAATGCGAAAAAAATAACGAATAGTGGAAACAACTTAAGAGAACTGCCAGTATCTTGATATTTTCTAAAATTTAACGGGTACCTATTGCTTGATTGATTGATATGTGGGGTTTAACGTCCCAAAACCACCATATGATTATGAGAGACGCGGTAGTGGAGGGCTCCGGAAATTTCGACCACCTGGGGTTCTTTAACGTGCGCCCAAATCTGAGCACACGGGCCTACAACATTTCCGCCTCCATCGGAAATGCAGCCGCCGCAGCTGGGATTCGAACCCGCGACCTGCGGGTCAGTAGCCGAGTACCTTAGCCACTAGACCACCGCGGCGGGGCGACGGGTACCTATTGCTGCATTTTTGCCACGATTTCAAAAACGATTGAAACACACCAAGACAGCTAAATGAAAAATGACAGTCTTTCATTTCTAAGGCCAAACACAGCTACCTGTGAAGTGCCCCCCCCCCCGCCCTCACACTTATACAGCACACAGCAGATTCTAATTAAACAGAACCTGAAAGTAAAATATGTAAATATGTTCACAGGAGCTCTGTTTACTGAGAAAGTATTGAGTGAGTGTGTGTGTGTGCATGGGTTATAACACATCGGAAGCGCTGTCAACAGTGATACATATATTTATTTCCCAACAATTTCGGGAGGGGTCCCCCCTTCCCGAAACCGTTAAAAATAAATGTATGTAGAAAAGGCACGAGAGGCGACGTGATCGGCAGAGAGAAGATGAGGAAGAAGGTGGTTTGGAACGGCAAAAGGCATGAACGTGCGGTGGTCGCGGCAAGGCATTCGCTGCAAGTCTGTCAGCAGAGCTTCTGGTAAAGTGCTCCAGTCTTCGCAGCAATGCACTGTAACCTGAGGGGCATGACCAGGAAGGCGACCAGCTCAGCTCAGCGAGACATTGGTCCTGGAGCGGCGCAGAGGTTTGACGACTATGCTCCGTGGGCCACGCATCTGAGGACGAGCGAGGCAGCCACGGCGTGCACCTGACGCAACGGCTACCGGATACTACAGGAACCTGACCAGAGCCTTGATGATGCATTGGACGGTTGTGCTCCGGCGAAGCTTCGTTCTTCAGAGACACAACAGAACTTTCACCGAGAAACGTAGCCACTATGTCAGGGTCCGCAAGCCGTGCTGAAACTGTAAATACCTTTTGCATGTTTTGGGGACATAGTATGAGCTAGGGACCTTTGTTTACACTGAGGGTGGCGATTTGGGCTTGTTGGTATGGTTGCATGATGATGGATGGTAGCGCAGACAACGAACACGGACAAGTGTGTTGTGTCTATGTGCCTACTCTTGTCCGTGTTCGTTGTCTGCGCTTTGTTTACACTGTTGCGTTTTCACCACTTGTTCTGTACATAGGTTATTTTTTGTCGCATAAATAACTTTTCGTCATCCGAAGTGTTCCCTGTACCAGTTACCATCTAGAGACCATGACAAAATATTGGCGAGCCTGCCAAGATTAATTATCCTTTTTAATTGGTCTTGTACGTAACAGAAACATGGATTACGAAAAATTGTTGAGAATCGCGACAGCATTGGGGCTCAGCCAACAGGAGTTGCTTACGCTGTTCAAGCGCGCGAAAAAGGAAGCTTGCGAGGTGGGTGCAGTTAAGAAGGAGGTACTTCTCTTAAAGTGCACTTAGCAGGTGCGTCTTGCACGAGAGAAGATGACACTAGCTCATCCATTTCTGTTGAACAAATTTCTAGAACAAAGGGCATTTGCCTGCGCAAGCTAATGGCTTCGTTTAATGATAACAGGGATGATTTAAACGCTTATCTGTACACCATTTTGAATGGATCGCTGTGGGTCAAGGATGGCAGAGAAGCGAGTGAGCAATAGCACTGAGTCTATGTTCAGTAAGCGAAGCCATTGGGAGAAGCCATCGGATGTTCGGGAGAATGTCTGCATTCGATTCTATGGACCACTACAAAGTCGAGAAAGCTCTGCTTCAACGATTCAGGTTAACAGCTGAAGGATTCACAGAAAGATTTCAAAAATGTAAACGCAAAGATGCACAGACGGGTAAACACTTTGTAGATTGACAAATTATTTTGAGAGACGGATGGAAATGTCCAACACAGAGAAGACTTATGACGGTGTCTGAGATAGAATGTAATCGAGCAATTCTCGATGTGTTGTAGTCCAGACCTCAGTGTTTTCTTTAAAGAATGAACATTGAAACGGCTTGAGGACTATGCTGAGTTGATGATGATGATGAGTGGTTTTTAATGATGCAAGGGCCAGATGATGGCCAAAAAGCGCCATTTCAATAGACTAGAGATATGAACAATGATATGATGCATGGCTGTAAAGGGGCCTTAAAATTCCTCGCACTAACGCGCATAAAAACATGGAAGTAATAAAATCATGACAGTGGCGTGAGATATGTGCAGTGAAAGTGGATGGCAAAATGTCATGATAGTAAAGCCATGATGGAGATGTAGTCACCACAGCCACGACCACGGTACAGAGGTCGTGCTACGGATCACCTCGAAATATGGGGTGAAAGCTATGAACATCTTTTAAAAACGTGAAAAGTGAGTGCAGTTTAAAAAGTGGATCCCTACCGATGAGCATCCCAGGGTGTAGTGGGAGCTGCTGTCGGTAGGGCAGTAAAAAGTGCTTTTTTCTGAGAGCATCTAGCTCATTGCACTGGACGAGGATGTGGAGAAAAGGTTCTCCACATCTCTCACAATATGGTGGATTGCCTGTAGATAGAAGATATGAATGTGAGTGTGTATGTTCTGTTCTAAT